GCACCCAAGATCCCAGGTGGGCATGTGACTTGGATTCATCTGCGTTCAGCAGATGGAGTCAGAGTTTGACTTTGACTTTCTGGAGTGAATGTTTGATTTGAGGCTTAAACAACATACACTTCGGCTGCCAGGCCTGCTGAAGGCAGCAATGACAGACAGAGAGCGGGAGGGTGGGTCCCGATGGTGCCACTGAGTCCTCGGGTCCAACTGTATCTGCCCCCTGCGTCCCCATGACATGAGCTGATTTATCTGTCACACCGTCTTCACTGTTTGGTTCAGTTATTCATGTCAGTCAGGCAGCAGTTCACAGCCGTGTCACTATCGTCCTACTGGCTGGGCTCGGCTCCGACCTGGTGGGTGACCCAATCTGGTGGGTGACCCGACCAAGGTCACCCTGGGTCTGATCTCACCTCTGCAGCTGATGTGATGACAGCGGGAGATATTTTCCTATCTTCAATATTCAGAGTAACTGCGAGCGTAGAAACACCAAAACATGATGGCAAAAGACGGTGGACCCAGCTTTCCAGTTTTAGTGCTAGTATAGCTGATTCAGGAAATTAGGTGGCAATTTTCAGGAAAAACCTTAATTCAAGATTGTTCTATTCCTGATTCCAGGTTTACAAGCTATGGGATCTGAGGCAAGTCACTTAAGTTGCCATAATGAGATAAAAGGAACATGAACCATCAATTGCGAAATGTCAACGACAGCATCATCACTGATGCCAGCATTCATGTCCAGTCCATTCTGAGCGCTCCCTTTGGCCATCATCTCTCGGTGTGGGAACACCTCGTCATCCGTCTTACGATAAAAATGCTGCCAGGAGAGCAAAATCCACCATTACAATGCAGGAGTCGTAACACTTACATTTCTAGTTGTTTGCTCTAGCACCAAAAAAATAAAAAATAAATAAGCCACATTCCCCTATTACCTAAAACTCTCTTTAAAATTCTGAAAATAGTGTGCTGCTTTAAAGGTTCATTTAAGCTATTTTTATGGGATTTTGTCAGGTGCTTAAGAGCCAGATGAATCCACAAAGTCACATGAGCCTGGAGGCAGACACATTTTAAAGCAGACGCGCGTATCAGAGCTGCCCAGTGACGGCGGGGCAGACGCGGGAGGGGCAGTGAATTGAAAGACCCTCAGACAATCTCAGAGAGAACAGCCCGGAGACAGCCTGACTCCGTCTCTGCTAAACTCACATCCTAGAAGCAAATCATATTCTGTTTACTCAATCGGTAGCTAATGAGAAGACCAGATAGGAATTATTTTTTGTAACACTCTGTCTTTTTGTATTTACTTGATTGGACAGTAATTTCAGAGAAGCTAAAGATAATTAATTGCTCTGAGTGGGTGCCTGGTATGTGACTGAAGTACAGCAAGAAGAAATAGCTGCATGAAGCCAAGGTCTGGTGGAGAAGGAAATGAGTTGCTCTACCAGACCCCTCGGTGACTTAGGGGGTGAGCGTGGCAGCCTCTCCATCCTCTGTGGACATGATATAAATACTGAATGACATGCGTCACCTTACTCTCCAGATCTGAGACAGGTCAGCCTGAGCTGTCCCCAAGTAATGTCCCACAGCTTCTCACTCACCTCAGAGGTAGTGGAGCCCATGACGGGCATCCTTTTGCTTGCAGCTGACGTTTATAACCAAGTAAGTTCAATCCTTCAAAGAAGCAACTTTTAAACAAGTGACGTAGCTGTGTTTAAGTCACTGGCCCGTTTCTAGAGACCATCTCACACACTGGAATGCCCAGAAGACAGGTTCCATTATTCTATGCACGGGCCTTCATGCCCACATAATTAGAAGTTGTCTTTTCTCTTGTTAATCTCTCTTGTCAATTTAATTATTTTCTAGCCACACAAACAAGGAGGTTAGGGGAAGATTAGCTTCCTCCCCGACACTTCCTAACTAGTTTGAAAGCCTTTTATATGTCTCTTCCATGGCCGAATGCCTTCCCAGCTTTCAGGACTCCCATAAACACTTCCTTTTGAGAGGCCTTTGATCCCACCTCTACAGCAAGCCAGAAGCAGAATCTTCTTGTTTATTCCTTCATATTATTTGCACAATCTTTTCATTTTGTGTTGTTTTGTATTTGTTTATGTTTATTCTCTCACTAAATTCTGCTCCATGTGAGCACAATTCACATGCAAGCAAAATCCCGTACTTAAGAAACACTCATGAAACTATTAGAATCATTTGTTCAAAGTTAAGCTCCCAGTCCTTGAAGGAGAACCATATTCTGTAGACTGTCCCACAGCAGCTGCCTGGATCTCCAGCTTGCCGGCCTGCCCTATGCATCTAAACCCCCAGACCCCACAATTACATGAATCAAAATGTCTCTCACTCCACAACACACATGTAGCCACGACACACACCTCTCCTACTGGTTCTGTTTCTCTGGAGATCCCTAAGCCTGTCTACAAAGCCCTTGAATGGACTTATAACATCAGCACTCTTGGAGTGAAATGAACCCTCCACGTGCAAGTGCTTTGCTGGTGATGACATTCTGCACAGGTCAGGGACTCGTCTCTCCACGTGGACGCTAGACAGAGAAATTCCTGTTGGGTCAACTCTGTGAACAGTAAAGGCAAGTGCATTCTGATACCTTCACAGGCCCTCTCCAGCCGGGGTCCCCACGTCTGGCGCCTGGTGCTGCGCAGGGCCTCTGACGGCTACAACAGCAGAGTAGTAGCAGAACTCAGGTTTTCTTACCCATTCGCTCGTCATGCAAATCCCAGCTCGTTCACTTAGGAACTGCTACCCTCTTCACTTCTGATCTGAGATCTCCACAACGGGACCACTGTTCTCAAGCTCGCGGAGATAACATGCTTCAAGAGCTCAGCAGACTCCTCACAGCTGTTTTTTCACCATCAAGTGCTTCACCCCGAAATATGTCAGTCCCTGGCATGCTCTGTTCTGTGCCCCAAATCACATGCCTCTGCTTACGCCACCCCTCCAGCCAGCTTCTCCACAGCCATAGTCTCTATCTGCATCGTCCAAAGGCCAATTACCCTGTCTTAGGCCACGGTAGATTATCATAGTGCTTACTTTTTGTAGCTAGCTAGTCTCTGTTTTCTAAGAACTAGGAATTTGTGCCAGGACTGTTTCAGGCAGTGTGCACGCACGCATGGACTCAGCTAACCCGAGAACATTCTAGTAAAACTGCCCTGATAACATAAAGGAAACTGAGGCTCCGAGAAACTTAAGAAGCCAGTTCAGGGCCCCGTGGCTGGACTGCAGTGAGGTGGCCTTGACAGAGGACCTTTTTCGCCAAGGTTGAAGGCATCTACTGTTTGGTCGTGGGCACGTAAGCATAGATTGGAAGCTGTCGGGCATGAAGGCTGTGGGGCGTTTAGACAGATGGGAACACAGACGGAGGCTCTGCTCCCCCAGTTCCGCCTCCGAGAACCCCCGCCTCCGTTCCAGTGTCACCGCTGAAAAAATCGCTGTGCTCTGACACCTTCGGTGCCTGACATTTTTCTTCCTGAGCGCCTCTTTACAGATGGAGAGTTTTATTCTGACAGAAATTTCAACAATTAGATCATGAACTGCTCACAGAGGGCACAGGGCAGCGGATGTGCCGCGACCTTCCAAGGCCGCTTCTGCGTGTCACCTGCAGGCGGCAGAGGAGGCTGCTGGGGAGTGGGTTACACCCTCACGGCACCAACCCAGCCCTGCACCCCGACACTGTGAGGGTGACCCCGGGGTGCTGGGAAAACTCCATCACAGCTTCTGGGAGTTGGCCCAAGCGTCCCGACTGAGGAGATGCTTTCTGGGTGATTCTAGAAATGTAACAGGGTGGTCCCAGGGAAAGGGGAGGTTCCAGCTTCCCTGCCTCCCAAGGAAGGGTGGAGCTGAGACACACAGAAGCTAGAGGAGGCTGCAGAAGGTTGATGGAGAGCAAGGAGGAGACCTGGAGGAGGCGCATGGTGCAGAGACGTGGGAAGAAGCTGCTCTTGCTTCTGGGCCCAGGATGTGCACCAGGGACTTGGGGGACCTGGAAGGAGACGCCTGAAGCAGACGTGGGTGACAGCCGGGGGTGGGAGGCTGACAATGGCAGCCTTTATCTGTATTTTGATTTTGTTCCATTCCTTGCAGACGTCTCTGGCCCTTTTTGCCCCTTCCCTATGGGTGCCTTAGACTTGGGCCTTACCTCTGGGTCTTTCAAATGGAAACTGTTGTCTGTTCTCTCCGGCTCTTCCCTTCACCGCAGCTCTGGCATCACTGTCCCCGCCACCACCAAGTCTACACCCCGGGAGTGTGTTCTGTCTTGATGCGTGGTGGGCAGAACCCATTTAGAGCCAGGGAGCGGCGGGTTTAGGGGCTCTGGGGTGCCCCTCACGCTGCCCTGGAACAGAAGCAGCTCTGGGGCAGGCGCCCTTGCGGGGTGTCTGGGAGGGGAACGCAGACGGGCCTTCCTCTCAGGCGCCCAGAGCCTGTGTAGCCACCCGCAGCGCTGGGGGCAGCCGGGAAGGGGGGGTAGGAGGGGGTCCCCCCGGCCGCTGGGCCCGAGGCACAGGCGGGTGGAAGGGGACACGGCCCCCCCTGAGGTGAGGCGGCCTCAGCCAGGCCCAGGGGCAAGAGTGGGGGCCTCTCAGACGCTCACCCTGCACGCGAGCCCCCCAGGACAAGGAGTCCAGTGGGTGCTTGGGGGGGGCCTGGCCACGCGAACCACCACGGCCCAGGGGCACCCCAGCTGCACCTCGACAAAGCCGTGAGGAAGCCGCGCAGGGACGCCTGGACGCTGCTAGAAGGCGGAGAAGGCGCCTCCTGGGACCTGCACAGAGGCAACCCCACCCGCCGCGTCTCCCCACGAGAAGCCGCGTCAGGCACCCCAACTGGGCAGCCCCGCACGTGAGGGAGGCGCCCCCTGCACCCGCACCCTAGCCGGAGAGCCCACGGCCCGCGGCGCCGAGGCTGAGGAGGGCGTCCGCTCACGGGCTCCCGCCGCCCTCGGGAAGCACCCCGACTGTGCATGGAAAAGGCCCCGTGCTGACCTTCAAACGCCAGGCTGGGGTCGCGGGGCGCGGCCAGACCCGCGAGGCGCCTCGGCCGCCGCCATGTTGGCTGCGCCTTCCCGCGCTCAGGCTTTCCCGGCAGCCCCGCGCGGGCGCCGCCTCCTGCGGGGACAGTGGGGCGGGGAGGCCCCGTGGGGACAGTGGGGCGGGGGTCCCGCGGGGCAGTGGGGCGGGGTCCCGCGGGGGCAGTGGGGCGGGGAGGCCTCGCGGGGAAAGAGGGGTGGGGGTCCCCGCGGGGTCAGTGGGGCGGGAGTCCCCGTGTGGTCTGTGGGGGGGGCTCCCGCGGGGACAGTGGGCCGGGGGTTCTGTGGGGTCAAGGGGGCGGGGGGCTCCCGCGGGGACAGTGGGCCGGGGGGCCCCGCGGGGACAGTGGGGCGAGACAGTCCTGCAGGGACGGTGGGGTAGGAAAGTGAAAGGAGATTAGGAAGAAGGAAAACTGTACCCGACATGCTGTTTTCTATGCCTTTAATTTTACAGCCTATGTTTATTTTATTTCTTTTCTTGCTTATTGAATAACACTGCACTGTGACCTGGGTCAGGTGTGCATCATTAGAAATCAGTATCTGGGAAGGGACAGTCTCTCTATAAATGGGTTGGGGAAACTGTACAGCCACATGCAAAAGAATGCAACTGGACCATTTTCTTATAAAATAGACAAAAATTAACTCAAAATGAATTAAAGACTTGAACATAAAGTATAAAACTCAAAATGAATTGAAGACTTGAACATAAAGTTTTATTTTTTTTTTTTTTGGTTGCTTTTTGTTGTTGTTTTTAACAAAGTTTAAGAAGAAAACAAAGGTACTAAGCTCTGGATACTGGTCTTGGTGGTGAGTCTCTGGATTTGACACCGTCTAGTTAGTCACCAAACTGGGATAATAATTCCCCCATTTTATGCTTCCTACAAATATTTCCTTGGAGAAAATATGTAAGTAAAATAGTGACTCCACTATTTAGTGGCTCCAAATTTCTACTGCCTGTTTCTGAAAGAAAAAAAAAAAGGACAAAAAACATTCAACCAAAATCAAAATACTGAAGTCATCCAGTATTTGCATAAAATTCATGTACTTAATTCATTCACCCATTCCAATGCTTATGAAAATCCAACTACAATACATTACATGATCTATATCTTCATGAAAAGTTTCGTAATTACAAGCTTTGATTATTCTAATCACATAAATAAAGTGTGTGGTAGATTTGCTGTAAACAGATTAGCCCATCAGAGCTTAAGGAAATTTAAGTTTTTTGATAATGCAGCATCTTAATTTATGAATTATAAGTCATAAATTGCATACATCAAATTTTCTTAACATGGTATACAATAATACTGATGACAACACCATTAATACTTTCTACACATAGACTCGGATGACAGGGAATGAGTAAAAGAGATTTTCTAAATGCTTTGCAGTATCAGAACTTTTATCATCTAAAGGGTGCTAACTTTCATGAAGATAATGACCACAGGAGACTTTTCCTTCATTTAGACTAAGACTGTCTTCAAAAATAATTACTTAGAGAATAATTTAAGAACATGCCATCTGGTGTTCGGTGGGGCACTGCCCTAATTTAGAAATCAGTGCTGGGATGCTGAGTTGTGTGGAAGATGACGGTGCATTAAATGCCACACCCTCTCTCCCCTCCTTTTAAGGGCCAGGCGCATACCTAAATGAGACAAATAGTGGGGAGGAAAGAAGCAGCGACTGTGTATCAGTAAGAAAGGCAGATACTTGCTTGTACATCTGTCCCACCAGGGCACGCTGGGTTAAAAAAGAGAGAAAACAGGGCCTCCCTCATGGCACAGGCGGTTGAGTACAGCACTGTGAAGCTGTCCACAGCCTCTAAAGTGCCAGTTCAATCCCGGCGGCGAGGGTCCCACATGGTATGCAGACCTCTTCTGTCACGCCCGCTGCTCCCCTCAGCAGTGTATTTCATCAGTCTGCCTGTTCTGTTCCCCACTCTGTCTCTGGTGAATCCTCTCACCCTCCCGCACATCTGCCTGTTCCCCGGTTCTTGTATAAATAAATCAATCTTTAGAAAAAAAGAGAGAGAGAAAACAGGTGGACACCTTAGCACTGATGGAAATGCCATTTAGCTTCCTCGCCTGCATAGTGTTTTTATTGATCAACTAGATAAGGAGTTCTATTATAGAAGGCTCAGTAGTGTGAAAAATATACTAGCTATTCAATATATTTTTTCTCATTGACTTGATGAAGTTGTGTGATGTGCCCTATTCTGCTTTCCTTTGCCTGCATAAACAAAGAATGACCTTCTCCGAGTAGTTGTTTTCTTTTAATATCAAATCTATCAGAAAAAAAAAAAATGGAGGGAGAGAAATGAGTCCTTTGTTTTATTTCAGCAATTCGTATCCCTGGGGATTCACACTGTTATCTTATGTGGAATGGTGGAAAACATTTTTTATTTTAATTGCAGATTAGGAAAATATATAGCAACATTCTATACATTTTGCTGCAGCTTTTCTTTAAAATAAGTCCATATAGGGCCTCCCCGGTGGCGCAGCGGTTGAGCGCTGGGTTGCGAAGCTGCCCGCGGCCTCTGCGGCGCCGGCTCGATCCCCGGCTGCTCCCCGGCCACCGGAGGAGGATCCCACATGGTGCGCAGACCTCTCCTGCCACCCGCTGCTCCCCTCAGCAGTGTACTTCAGTCCTTCTGCCTGCTCTGCTCCCCACTCTGGCTCTGGTGAATTCTCTCACCCTCCCATGCTTCTGACTGTACCCAGTGCATGTATAAACAAAACAAACAAATAAAATAAATAAATAAATAAATAAAAACATGCCTCTATAAAAAAAAAAAAAAATAAAATAAGTCCATATAACTGAAAAAAATGAGTCACTTTAAAGAAACACATGGCCCTTATAATAGTGGAGGCAAACAATGGTACTGATGGTGGCGCTCAAGATTGAAGTTGGAAAGGCTGGCTTAGTGGCCACAGAAAGGGAAGAGGATGAAGACCTGTAAACAATCATTATTGTTGATAGTAAATGGGACGTAACAAATCCAGCTTGTGAGCAGCTGAAGCTCCAAGAAGCCACGCGGCTGAGGTCTCTGGAGCCCTGTCCTTGGCAACTTGCAGAGAATATCCTTCCAAGAGGAAAATTTCACCATGGCATCCTCATCACCAGCAAGAGATGTCAAGTCCTTTTTCCCTAGTCAAATTACCCTGCTTTTTCCTTCTAAGTAGGAACGGATGAGACAGTCCTTGCTCACCTGCATGGCGGATGTTTTGTGGGAAGCCAGCAGGCAGTCATCTAGGTGAGGAGGGCCAGCCCCACTCTGCTGTCTGATGTGGTCCAGAGGCCACTCGCGTCCCAGGCTCATCTGCGCTAACATCGTTCCTATTCGCTCTGGAGTCTGGTGATTGCAAAGTGGGAATCCAACAATGAACATGAAGTTTTCCTCCACATCTGCTGATTTCATAGTGTGCTTAAACATGGGATGTGGAAGCTGCCTTTGGCTCTGCCATTTCAAGTGATTACAGACCCTTATACGGATTTGCCGTGTCTCTGGTGGGTCTAGAGTCTGGGATGGAACTAAACGGATCTCCAGAAGGTCAATGGGCATATAGAGCAGGTTAAACTCCTAATTCTAGAGAAATGGTACCCCTCTAACAAAGTCTCACAGGTCTCTCCTGGGAGCCTCCCCACAGAAAAGGAAAAGTGGGGGGTTTGGACAGCATCATCTGAGAAAGGCTGTCAATCAAGAGGATGCTGGTGAACTCCTTATTCCAAGAGTTAATGAGAATATTTGCCAACTTTCTCTGTCCTTGTGGGTAATTAAGGAGACTGTAGGATAACAGGCCAAATGGATTAAGTAAATACAGCATGCAATTGCCTAGGAGAGGTAATTAGAAATTACATGTATTATTTTGAAAATAAACAGTTTAGCTTAGTAAAAGTTGAAGATAAAGTTTCTAAATGTAAGGAAGTACAAATTTATTCAGACTCCTAGTGAGGAAGCTTGGAGGGCACAGGTTAACTGTTGTGGCTTGGAAGTCTTAGAGTCAACCTTTGGCAGGAGAAATACAGGGCTCTGATGTCTACTGACACGTACTGTTGTCATTAGCCCTTCCCTAGGAAGTGGGCATGCAGTGTGGAAGAAATGCCTCTCGTTAACCCAAAGTGCCTTTCTTTGGGTGACCTGTACTTTTCAGCACATTAACATTAAATAGAATGCTTCCCTATTTCATAACAATGCAGTTTTTAATTATTTTACTGGCTTCAATTGTATCAAATAAAAAATATCAGTTAGGATTCCAGCTTGAATCAGAGATTATTTTAAAATAAACCTCAAAGTTAGCAAATGGCTCGAGTGGGCCTATGAATCTTTGGACCAAAAAAAGGAATGTCTTCTCTGTCTTCTGCTCACCAACAGCCGCCCAACTAGGTCAAGAACAAGCTGCGTATGAAAGCATCTGGTGGAAGACTATTTGAGGCAGTCTGATCCATCCTAAATAGCTACTGACTATCTTCTATGAACAGAGAAGTTAGCACAAATCTTTCTCCAAGATGGCAAACCTCTCCATCAGCCTATGCTGATTAGTTCATAGTAGTTTTCTGGAGAAAAGTGCTAAAATTTTCCTGAGTCTGAATTAAGTTCAATAGGGACATATGTTCACATATATTGAGAAAGTTCCCTATCCAGGGACAGAGAAAATAAGGTAAGTGTACTCACCACCCTTGTTCTAAAGCTAAGTCACTGATCTTCAATATTGGTTACACAGTCACACCCAGGACATTTTAGAAACACTGATGTCCAGTCTCTACCCTTAACGATTCTGACTCCAGTGTGCTAGATGTGCACAGATGTCAGTATTTTTGGAAAGCTGCCCAGGTAACACTGTTTGCAACAAGACAGAAGAATCTCTGCTAAGGATCAGAGTTCAGAAAATCTCAAGGCTCCTGGAACCCATCTCCTGGCTTAGGTATTTATATGGGGTTTCCAGGAAGCTGTGTTTCTTCCCTAAGAGTCCCGGAGACAACTGAAAAATAACCATTTATTTGAACTTGGTAAAGGGCATCTAATGCCCGTCAATGTATTTATCATCAAAAGTCCCAATGAAAATACATACTAGTTAGCAGACTCTGTATTTCCACTCTCTCTAAATGACACATACAAAAGAGTCTTATTAGTGATTCATGTTTTACACATTTATTAACGTGACTTGTAAAACAAGTGAGTTATAATTCCAAATGATTATTTCAAAATGGTGGTGACACCTGAGTGCCTTTAAAGCAATCTCTTTTTTAATATGCACATTTAGCATTTACTCAATCTACTTTATTCTACTGGGAATGCCACTTCTCCAAAATAGCTTCTAGAATGTGTTAGGAAATTTTGAAATGATTTTAAAATAGACTTTCTCACTTCATGTGAAAATTAAGAATGAAAATAGAAAAGGGGAAAGTCGGTTCCAAATTAAAAATGCTTTGATAAATCAATGAAACTGTGAAATGGTTTCCAAATCTTTGGTTTAGTCAGACAATAGTGTTTCCTGGTACATAATCTCTCCAATTTCCCCTTCCCCCACTGGACCACCTTGCTTTGGGGAGAGGAAGAAGATGCTTCTTGTCTTCAGAGATGCCTTCACTTGGCACTGACTTTGCACACCATGGATTTGTTCCATCCTCAGAGCTTCTCTCGGCTCCTATTTCGTGAGCACCTTGTGAATGTCCAGCCCTGGGCCTGGTGCTGTGATAGAGAAACAAGACGCAGTTGCTACCCATATGTAGCTTATAATGGAGCCCTGGAAAATCTCCATTAAAAATGATACCACCACATTGGGGCCTCCCCGGTGGCGCAGCGGTTGAGCACTGGGTTGCGAAGCTGCCCGCGGCCTCTGCGGCACTGGTTCGATCCCCGGCTTCTCCCCGGCCACTGGAGGAGGGTCCCACATGGCGCGCAGACCTCTCCTGCCGCCCCTGCTCCCCTCAGCAGTGTCCTTCGGTCCTTCTGCCTGCTCTGCTCCCCGCTCTGGCTCTGGTGAATTCTCTCACCCTCCCGCGCTTCTGACTGTACCCAGCGCATGTATAAACAAAACAAACAAACAAACAAATAAATAAATAAAACATGCCTCTATTAAAAAAAAAAAATTAAAAAAAAAAAAATGATACCACCACTGCCATCCCTGGTTATCCTTCCAGATGTGCTGTGTGATCTGTATTCAAGGTTATCCAGAATTGTATGCAAATAACTATAAATAAAATAAATAGAATATAAATGTAATGTGAATAAAATAAATATAATCAAGTCACTTGCATTTTTCTTTTTTTTAAAGTTTTATGTATTTATGCATACAAGAACTGGGGTGCAGGCCAGAGGTGTGGGGGGTGAGAGGATTCACCAGAGACAGAGTAGGTCACTTGCATTTTTCAAGCTAGGAATACATAAACATGTGAGATGCAAAATGGACAAAGAAGGAAGCACTTGAATAGAAGGGGTGGGGCTCTTGCATACACAACTTTTAAGTCTAGAATGTGTGTTATCTTATTGCTCTCTGACCCATGAAATGTATTGACAAGAAAAGACCACAGGGCTGAGTCTGTCGTTTGATGAGTCACTGCATCAAAACAACTTTTTTTATATTATTCCTTGTTTCATAGGTGAGGAAACTAAACCGCAGAGAAATTGAGTGATTTACTCAAACCATGCTACCAGGGAGCCCAGATTATAAAGAAGTCTGTTCCTGAAGACTTTGTGGGACCCCAAAGAGGTGCCAATAGGGTATGACACCTGTCACCAGCCTCCTGGCAAATGCAGCCATCATATTTTTTTATCCCGTTTCCTACTTTCTGTAAAATTGACATAAATAATATTTATATTAATGATAAATTAGCAAGAAAACAAGCTCTCATTTCCAAACTTCCAGAGACTTGTGTGTTTTATCTAAACTGTTCAGACTACACACTATTACGTATGCTAATAAGGGCAAACAGTTATTACCAGAAGTTGATTGACCGAGAATGTGGGAGATAATAAACTTTCCTTCATGCTGAATTACTCATATTAAATGGCCATTTATTCTAACATTCTGAATACCTACCCTGTCAAAATATATTAGAGACCATGAATCTTTTATTGCTTATTTCTTTCCTTCTTATATCAAAACTTCTGGTATTTTTGGAACCATGTGAGAAATGGGTTCTAGTATTTACCATTTCCCTGGAGACTCAGTACGATATAGCATAAACTACATTCCATTTTTATATAGATTTAGATTTCATTTGTAAGGCTGAGCATTTAGTAAGGTGAGAGGAATTTATTTCTGTATTTGCCAATCGCATAAGCAAAACCAGGCACTGCTGTTACATAAACAGCGTCACTCATCACTTACCCAGCTCAAAGGAGTAAAAGCACCAAAGAGGTGTTCAATCTTCAAATATTATCATTCAGTTTGAATCGTCAGGATCTGAGAACACTGTCATCTTCCCAGTAGTCGCCACAGAACAAACTAGTTCTGGGAAGGGACAAAAATAGAAAAGGAAGCTGACTTTTTGAGGTAACCGCTACCCTGTCAGCCAAAGGCAAAGCAAGGACAGTAACTGAAATGACCCTTCAGACTCACTCTCTCCTGCACAAAGGCAGAAACCAGTGCCTTACCTTCATCACATTAATTCATGACAAAAAGTTGGTGGCATTTTTGTCTGCACTCTACTAGTTAACAGATTTCTTTAAATCATTAATTTATTGAAACTGTAATTTTCAACAAACTATGGAAGTACTTGGTGCATTATGAAATGCTCTCTAGAAACCAGATATATTACACTCTATGAAAAATTAAAATCCAGTAGGGCAAACACAGAAGTCCTTTATTACTCTGATTATCAAGACATCATAAGGATCTACTCAGCAATTAATCAATTTAGAAAATGATGTAAGCTCATGTGTCTTGCTCATAATGCTCTCTCACTTTTAAATGTTATTTAGGGGGCCTCCCTGGTGGCGCAGGGGGTTGAGGTTGAGCGCAGTGTTGTGAAGCTGTCCGCAGCATCTGCAGTGCAGGTTTGATTCCCAGCCGGCCAGGGAGCTACCCATATGGAGTGGCAGACCTCTCCTGTCTCACCCGCTGCTCCTCTCAGCAGTGTACTTTGGTCCTTCTGCCTGTTCTGTTCCCCGCTCTGTCTCTGGTGAATCCTCTCACCTCCCACACCTGTGGCCTGTACACCATTCTCGTATGCATAAATAAATAAATCTTTTAAAAATATATATATAAATGTTGTTTAGGTGTCTTGTCAACCATATTAGGTAATGTCACATCTTTAGGAACCACACAACTGGGCAACTATTGGGCCCATTGATGCTGGTTAATAAATAGATATTGAATGAATGTTCTGTTGCCATCTTGAAATCCCACATTTTCATTTTTCAAATGATGTAGCTGGTTCTGTCTGCTCTATATAAGATTCTTTTTGCTTTGGATCATTGATAATTTTGTAAAATGCTGTTGTTTGCTTATTTTTGCTCACTCTTCAAACCTATAAGCTCAGGAAAAGTAAGGCCATGCTTACCACCACAAAGATGGGCAAAGTGTCTGTTAGGTGACATTTTAACAATGAATTAAGATAAGTTTGCTTTGGTTTGAATATAGCATCCGCATCCCCACCACCGTAGGCTTAATATAGAAAGACAAAGACTCCACTCAGCACTTGCTATTGGTGAAGGGTTATCTGTGACTCTTCCTGGGTTAAATAGAAAGTGTCGCCAGATTCAGATTTGCAACCAATACATTCCATGTACGGTGCAAAGGCAGTTCAAAGTCTCCCAGCTGTCTCCAGATGAAAGGGCCACTGCGTCCACACACAGTCTCGGGAAACGGGGGACATGTGGCATTGACAACGTAGATGAGGAATTACTCAAGGACAGTTCGTCTGCATTTCCACCATCTCACAATCTCAGAAACCTTAGAAGTAAGTAAGAGTTCAAAGAATTCAGACTAAAATGTTACAGTTCCCAAGACTAAAAAAAAGAGGAAACAATGGTTGAATCGGGTAACCCAATTCCACCATTCATTAGTGTAGGAGGAAAGCTGATTCCCAAAATGAAAACTCTACTCTGTACCGTATTGCATAATAACTATGTATAATGTAGCTATTCAATATTCTTCATCTACATAGTAATTATGTGCTCTTGTAGCCTGCTTATTAAATATACTTATTAGGGCCAAAATGGATGACTATGTACCTTACCCTGAATTATGAAGTGGGAATGATGCTGTACTTATTTCGTAAAGGACTGCCTCCCTTTCCTTTTCATTTCAGACTTATGACTGGGTCTTCAATTTGAACCAAGGCCTGTAGCTAAATTGTACCATGACTCATTTAACTATGTCTGCCCATGCAAATGTGTAGGCAAGTGTTACATTAATTATCTTTAGAGTAGTGTTTGCTCAGCTCACTCTGTGAACATAACCTGTAAAATGAAAGAACAATGACACCGGCTCCTGGGGGTTTCCTTCCCAGGGCCCAGCAGTGCAAGTTCCTAAGGAAGAAGTGATTCACAGAAAGGTGGGCGCAGAGGCAGCGTCCTGAGCTCAGCAGAAGGGGGTGACCTCGGGTAGCACTTCAGATGTCTGAGTCTGTGTGTCAACAGATCTTCGTGAGATGCCGAAACTGGGAAGTGTCTACTTATGGGGGCGTTTCCATCTGTACTTTCAAATTGAAGTTGAGAGGAAGTGTTAGCCTTGTTAACATGCTTGATTAGATGGATAGATGAAGACGCTCACACCAACAAAATAGGAGGAAAATGGTTCTTATCTAACTTATTCTGTCTGTCTATCTGTCTGTCTGTCTGTCTGTCTGCTTGTCTTATACTATCCATCTATCTTACTGGTTTTGTTTTCTGCCATGGAGCCATGATTGAGCCATTCACATAGTATGAAAATTAAGTGGAAAAGATAGTGCCAGGCAAACACTAATCAAAAGAAACCCAATGTAGAGCAGTATTAATTTCAGAGAGTAGATTTCAAGGCAAGAAGTATTGCCAGAGATAAATGAGTGTGTTTCATAATTACAAAAGGGAGACTTTGTCAGGAAGATAAAGCAACCCTAAATATATATGCAATTAATAAATAGTTTCAGCTACAAAGAAAGCATATAGAACTAGTGGATAAATAGATAAATTGATAACACGAGAATTTAAAATATTCATGAGGCTATAGAAGACATGCACGATGTTCCTAACTAAATTACCTTAATTTTTACTGTAGACAGCTGTGGCCAATAAAAATCAGAATGCAAAATCTAGTCAAGGACAAATGAATATAAGCAATATATAAGCAATATGCCTAAAAGCAAACTTCGATAAATTTTAATTGACTTAAAACACACCAAACTTGGAGCCTCCTTGGTGGCGGAAGGGGTTAAGTCTCAGCACTATGAAGCTATCACCAGCCACTGCAGCACGAGTTCGATCCCCGGCCAGCCAGGGAGCAACCCACATGGCGCAGCAGACCTCTCCTGTCTCCCCACTGCTCCCCTCAGCAGTGTATTTCAGTAGATCTGCCTGTTCTGCTCCCCACTCTGTTTCTGGTGAATCCTCTCACCTTTCCGCACCTCTGGCCTGTACTCCAGCTTTTGTATATATATATATATATATATATATATATATATATATATATATATATATAAATATTTAAAAATAAAATAAAATAAAACACCAAATTTACTCCATAACACAGTAGAATTGAACTTAAGTCAATGACAAAATAATACATATAAAATAATCAAATGACAATAAATTCAGTGACACACTTCCAAAAATCTCATGAATAATGAAAAAGATCACAATGAAAATTAGATGTATTTTGATCTGAAAATAATGTAAATATAATCAAAATTTATCAACAGTTCTGCCTGCTTTGAATACACAGACCACAGAGAGGTCTTTTTGTTACTTTTTGTTCTTGTTGAAAATCTGGAATTTATTGTCATATAAAATGTTCATCTTTATGTGGAAGTCTTTCCCACTGGCCTAACTATGGTTTATGTGAAAAACACTTTTCAAAATAAAAATTCATTGAAAAATGTGCTTTGATCAACTGTGATTAAAGAGTGGCAGACAGGACTGACATAAGATCAGTGTTGATAAAGGCATTGACTAATCAGCAAAAATGAAGTTTCAAAAACTGAAAATGTGTTCTTTATTCATAAGCATCAACCAATAGGCAATATAATGGCTCTCCATTTTAAAAGGCATAAACTAGAATTATTAGAGCATATTAATCCTTTGCCTTTTTTCTTTTGTTCCATGCATTCCAAAATGCCATCATTGTTGTACAAGTTCAATCAAAGAACTTCTCACTTTCAGCATTTTTTCTCTGGTTATTCTGATGATTGGTTTCATGTAAGGTGGTTATACTTTCATACAGAAGAGAGGGGATGTTTAAAAATGATCTGTTCTGGTTGTCAAGTCCATTAATTCATCACTAATACAAAATAAAAAAAAGTGTGATCTTCATTTTCTTTAATATGAAAAAGGGACTTTTCTTTCCTTCATGGAAGTGAGATGGTTGTGAGGGAAAATGAGTTCTCAGTTTAACTCCCAGTTTTGTCATTAAACATGTAATCTCTGGGAATCCCCTTAATCTTGTTGATCCTTATTTATTCATAATTAAAATTAATATAATACTACTGACTAAACAGGGTATTATAAAATGCATCTAATTAATGCTATCAGAGGAGACTGAAATCCTTACAGGATTTGCTGAAAGAACAAAACATTACCTTTATTTTCTCCACCCTTGTGTTTCCCACCAAGCTTATTCTAATGTGTTCTTTGAGAAATCCAACATTTGGCAGAATATTGAAGAATTTGACATACAGAGGGATTAGTTTTCTAACTTGCTGCGTAGGATGTGTCTATATTCACTTCTGCCCACTACAAATGTACAGTTTGCGTGACTCCCCTGAGCTTGCAGGAATGGGAGGTTGGAAGTGAGAAATGATAACAACAGCAACAAATATAGAGAAGAGACCTGGACACCGTGATGGAGGTAGACTCATGGAAGGGACTGGAGCTAGGTAGATCGGAATAGCGGTCAACTGCTTTGTTTTACTTGGGTTTTCTCTGTTAGTTCTGGCATGCGTGAATTGTGTGATGGTGTAATCCCAGAATGACTGACGTTACTGCTGGCTCAGCTCTTCATCGATTTACTAGTCTTCTAATTTTGCCAGGATCTAATTCTGTTTCTAGTATTATTATTATTATTATTATTATTATTATTATTATTAATTGCCAAAAGTGGCAAGTGTGGATTCTGTTAGGTGCAACTAAATAAAATGCTCAACAAATGCAGGCATCACTAGTTGCTGTTCCTATTACTTCTATTAACATATTACAGAGAACCAGGACATAGCTCGAAATAAGGGCGAAATCTCAAACAGTTAAATGAAAATGGAATGGGCTACCTATGGAGATTGTGGGTTAACCCTCTCCAGAGGTTTCCAGGCTGTAGTGGCATAATGAGATTGAAAAGAGATTCCCCATAAAGGATTGATGGCTTTTGCTGTGACCCCCTAAAATTGTTTCCAGGGCTGAGATTTAGTAATTTTATTTTTAAAAGGTGCTGCTAGTGAAACCTGCAGGAGCTGTAAGGGGTGTGAATCATTTTATTCAAGGAGACAGAAGGAGTGAAAATGAATCCCTTCTTCTCCTTGCACTTCCAACCTATTATAACACTCGCAGACGAGGCATCTCAACCTGCACTTAGCAACTAGCATATCCCTGGGCGTGATGCCTATTAGAGACGCTGGAGGAATTACTTTGCAACACTGACACATCATCTGTCTCCATCAGGATGTTGGTTAGTTCTATTTGAAAAATCTTAATTGGTTTAAAAATCATCACAAATACTGTATGTATTAATCACATCGGTATATTACAAAGAACAAGATACGATGAAGTAGATTTAACGCATTTTTTAAAAACCTAGTAGATGCAGCTAGTTATGTAATAAATGACGTTGAGCTTTGTTTTGATTACTCTAGAATCAAAATCGTTGGGGCCTCCCTGGTGGCCCAAAGGGTTAAGCATAGCAATATGAAGCTATCTGCATCCTCTGCAGCATGAGTTCAATCCCTGGCTGGCCAGGGAGCAGCCCTCTTGTCTTGCCTGCTGCTCCCCTCAACAGTGTATTTCAGTAGATCCGCCTGTTCTGCTCCCCACTCTGTCTCTGGTCGATCCTCTCACCCCACATATCTATGGCCTGTACCCCAGCTCTTATATGCATAAATAAATAAATCTTGTTTAAAAAAAAAGCTACTCACATGCCCACCCATCATGTTACTTTATTTTTCTTTATTTTTCAAGACTTATTTATTTATTTTTTTGCATAGAAGAACTGGGGTGTCGGCCAGAGCTGCCAGGGGTGAGAGGATTCACCAGAGACAGAGTGGGGAGCAGAACAGGTGGATCCACTGAAACACACTGCTGAGGGGAGCAGTGGGGAGTCAGGAGAGGTCTGCTGCGCCATGTGGGTCAGCTCCCTGGGGATCGAACTCAGGCTGCAGTGTCTGCAGATAACTTCATAGTGCTGAGACTTAACCCCTGCACCACAAGGGAGGCCCTGATGCATGTCATTTTATAGACAGTAGCATGTGTTCCTATATCAGACTGGACACTGTCAAGCACTTTTCCTGTCTGTTTTAGTTGGGCTCAGGTGTGTATAATGGGTCCCACCAAAGTGGTATGAACCAAATATGGCCTTGCTTTTTTCATACAACGAAGTTTGGAGATAGTCCTTCCAGGTCACTCTCGCTGAAGTCAGGCAAGAGCCACCTTCAAAAAGCAGCTTTTCTATTCACCCAACGAGGAAGGCTGTTCTCACCCAGGAGTCATGCTGGTCTTGGAGGCATCGGGAGAGAAGAGGGGTGGAGGCATAGTGTGGATGCCAGCGAGCCGCAGCCCTGTCCCTCTCACTCGGCTCCCCCCAGGGCACATCCTGCAGTCATTTGCTTGCGATTGATTGCCCATAACTGCAAAGAAGAAAACAGAGGAAACATCCTGAGAAAATTGTGGCCTCCCCCAGCAGCCAAACAGCGGGCCTCTTGGAGAGGCAAAGCTGGAGAGGCGATGTCGGTGGGATAACAAATAGACTCCGACCCGCTATTAACTCACTTTATCCTCACAGCAACCCCAGCGGTGCTATTCGGGGGACACTTCCATCCCCATCCACAGAGGAACAAAGGAAGGGTTAGAAAATGCAACTACTTCCCCCCAGCAAGACAATTCATCAGTAGGTGTTATCAGATTCCCAATTTACAGGTTCCAATTTACAGAAGTTGAAGTAACTTGTCTAGAAGCCAGGACTCCAGCCTGTGGGGCCACACAGGGATTCTGGACCTCACCCTGGATGACAGAGATCTCTAGCCCCTACTCTGTCCCTTTTCCCAAGCCCTGCAGTAGGTATAACCCTTCCAGAGTATCCCACTGGCCATGTCGTCAGTCTGCTTGTGAACCTCTCATCGCCCTTCCCATGCTTGCTTTTGGGGCCTCTGCGTCACAACCCCAGGCTCCCAGTCACGGAGGAGACAGATGCGAATGCTGGCAGGGCCCCACCTTAAACACCTGCCACACTGACATGACCAATTCTCACGCTCAGGACCTTCTCTAAAGTCGAAGGAACTTGCTTATCTCGTGCACATGGAAAATGGGGGTTATCATCGTGCGGAACAACACTAAACTCTGAGACACTGACTCAGTGGGTAAAAGCTGCAGCCTCGCTCCCTTTGAAGGGGCACACGAAGGCAGCGTGGTTCCTGCGGGAACTAGCCTTGCAGAACTCAAGTCTCAGACGCATTGCAGCTGCGGGCCAGGCTGCGCTCTGCAGCCCTCTCAGTGTGTGCTGAACCCCGCTTTCCACTGGCTGCCCCCCCCCAATGACAGGTCGCAGGTCTACTCCTGGGCGTCACACTTGCCTTCCCAACTGCCTCACCAAAATCTCTCTAGACTTCATGACGGTTCTGGATGCTTTACCCACCCTCCGTCTCATCTCACAGAAGCTTTCACGACAAATTGACTGCGTGTTGAGTGTTGTCTTGGTGTCTCCTTCTTGGAGGATCCACAAGACCACAACTCCTCACCTCATCCCTCCTGGGCTTGAGCCAGGATTGCCCACAGCAGTTAGCAGCTCAATAATGTCCCTGCTGCCCACGATTCTCCTCTCCTGCTCTCTCTCCCACCCCCTTACTTCCACTGGCAATGCCCAGCGCTCTCCTTTTGGGGAGACAACCTGAAACAAAACTGCTTCTGCAGAATAGCATTGCTGTGCAAACTTCTCAGCTAGACTTTCAGAATCGGCACTTCTAGTCCTGAAACTACTACTATTCATTCTTTCTATTTTGTTCCCTTCCTGGAGTCCAGACAACTTCTCCTAGTCTCAGTTTCCTTGCACCCTCTCCTAAGCATTTATGCTCGGCACTTGAAGTCTATTGAGAGTAGCCCTTCTCCACCTCAGCGGGTGGTGATAGTATGGAACCACTGCTCACCAATATCCATTACCCCCCCCATAAAGGAATATTGTGCTTCCCCACCTTTCCAGCCATGACATGCCCCCCTGATTTGTACAGCCAATTAAATATACAGGAATTATAGTGTTAATTCAAGGCTCCCATAACTATAGTGGTACCCAAGGTCATAAAAAAGCAGGTGATGCACCCCTGTGTTTATTGCAGCACTATTTACAATAGCTAAGCTATGGAAACAGCCCAACTGCCCAAAAATAGATGACTGGATCAAGATGTGGGACATATACACCATGGACTATTCCTCAGCAATCAAAAAAGATAAACTCATGCCATTTGCAGCAACATGGATGGCGCTGGAAGGGATCATGCTCAGCGAAATAAGCCAGAAAGAAAAAGAAAAATACCGGATGGTCTCACTCATAGCAGGAATCTAGAAAACTTAAATAAGGGACCAGGAAAAAGACTAATCAATACAAAGTGAAAATCAAAATCAACAAGCAACTATAGACCAGAAACACACTACATGGGGGAGAAGGGAGTAGAATCAAAACAAGGGGGGGGGTGGGAATTTTATGGGGATGATAACCAAGATGAAAATTGTACAAAAATGAAAAATGATGTAAAAATATATAAAATAAAAATAAAAAAGCGGGTGAATGTAAAACCAGAAATTGCTGCTGAAAAAGATGTCCATATCTCAGTGTTAGACACCAACTAAGTTATTACATTAGAAAAGTAACTTGGAACTAGATCAGAAAGCAGAAATATAGTGGTTTTGCTCCAGTGCTTTGAACGGATGCATACACTCTACTACAATCTAGACAAAACCATTCATTGTTTCTGAAGCATCATTTTAGATTTACACTTTGTTCTTTTGTTTTTATTTTAGGAGTGAAGTGCTAAGAAAAGTAGAATGTGCTTTTTTTAAAAAAAAAATTAACTGTCAAAGAGAAACACAAGTACTTTAAAAGATGAATGTGTGGTGACTCATGTGCTAAGCGTGTGGGTATAATCACCTCCCCTCTCCTTAAGAGAAGTAGCCCATATGCAACACTTCCTAGGCCAGAGTCAGTCAAAACTCACTGGAATAAATATCCCCCTGTACTTTTATTCATGCAGTTTCTTATGAATCATAAGTTGATTCTTTTCTCTGATGCTGCCTGGGATCCATTTATCAGAGTTTTGTCATAAGCTCTGTAAGATTTTACAGCTCACAGTCAATATTTTGTTCATAGATTATAAGAAGAAGCCAACTGTCAGCAAGATATAGTGTAATAAAACAACTCCTATGCTTATGGCAATTTTGAGTTTATTATTTAAAAGTGTTGACTTGCGGATGCTCATTCCGTCGACAATAAGCAGGTTCTTAGTATATGTAAGACAACAGAATAGACATTGTCAAGAAATAAAATCTGCCTTGAAGTCTACCTAACGACCATGTGTGACAAATGCTATGGAATAGAGATGAAATATGACAGAGTAGTTGCTTCTATACATGTACACTCACACAGAGACATGTATGCACTCATGAATACTATACATATGTAGTCTTATATATTTCATATATTTTTCATGTATATTTCATAATAAAAAATAAAGCCAGTCTGTGAGGTGAATGATCACTGGAAACAGTTAAGTACAGACCTCAAAGAACACAGGAGAGTAATGGTGTGGAGGTCTAATTCATTAAATACGGACACTAGTCTGTGTCCACACAGGTCTTAGGAGACAGGTGTTACAGAATGCAAAAGTTGCAACAGGACTTGAACTACTCATTCCAACAAACAAGTCCTACAAGTGGAAATTAGAATTTCCCCAACTTACCTTACTGATTCATCAGCTTTCCATATAAAAAGAAATGGTAGTAGAATGGATGAAGTGAGCAGACTTCCCCACTCACATTCCCTAAACTGCCACTCAGTTAGAGAAACAGAATTTTGCTTACATCACTCTTGACACACCGGATTGTGCCACTAAATGCCACTTGCTTACCACCCACTTGCTTGAAGAGTCGTTACACTTTCCTGTTCACAGACATGGGGGGAATCCAAATTCAACAACACATTCAGGCATCTATTTTGTTCTAAACTTTATTTTTAAAAATTACCAGTAATACATTAATGAAGCCTCATGACTGCAAGTTCAAATAAAGTGGATTTGGCTTGATGACCCCAAAACTCTTAGATTTCACTTGACCCTCGAGAGAAACTGTTACCAATTTTGAGCAGTTTTAGAATTTCAGCACGACTGGCAAAGAGGGTGAGATAATTCTTTTTTTTTTTAAATATTTATTTATTGTTTATACAAGAACCAGTTTACAGGCCAGAAGCACGGGAGGGTGAAGAATTCACCAGAGACAGAGCAGAGAACAGAACAGGCAGACTAACTGAAATACACTGCTGAGGGGAGCAGCGGGCAGGATGGGAGAGGTCTGCTGCACCATATGGGTTGCTCCCTGGCTAGCTGGGAGTCGAACCTACGCTGTAGAGGCTGTGGACAATTTCACAGCACAGTTCTCGACCCGCTGTGCCACCGGGGAGGCCCATGGGTGAGATAATTCTTGATTGTGGGGTGGCCCTGAAGGATCCCTGGCTTCTCCCCGAGATGCCAGCAGCATCCTCCTACCCCAGCTAAGAAAACCAGACGTTGACAAATGTCCCCAGGTGGGTGGTTGGGTGGGTGGGGAGACAATGTCTGCCCAGGTTTAGAACAACCACTGAGGAGCTGAAGGGATGACGCTAGTGAAATAAGTCAAAAGGAAAAAGGTAAGTATCGGGTGGCTTCATTTATATGTGGCATTTAGAGAAACCGAACAAAAGGTCAGGAAAAAGATGAAACTAGCAAGCTGACCACAGAGCTGAGGCACAGAGCAGGGGAAGGGAGGGAGAGGTCACAGCAGGGGAGGGATGAGCACAAGGGTGAGTGGTGATGGGTCCCGGGTGGCCTGCTGGTGGAACTATGGGGACCCCGCCTGAGGGGAGAAATCAAATACTGTCCAAAAACTAACAACAGTGTAAGAAACTTAATAAACTTAACAAAAAACCACCATCTAGAATGTGCTACTTGAGACTTTTTATCCTGCATTTATACTATATTTTATACTATATTTTATCCTGCATTTATACTGTATTTATATTATATTCATTCGGCCACTGAAATCTATAGGGATTTGTGTATATATTTTTAAATATAAAGACATGAAATATACATATTATTCTGTATCTTGGTTCTCTTCACCTAATAGTAGGTATTTCAACATCAATACCTTATTTTCTTTATTTGCTATGTACCACTCCTTAGTGCGATATATTATTTCTTTAAATACTAATGTTTAGGTTGACTTAGGTACATTCAACCCACTAGGAAAAAAATCATTCCACATATTTGCTCCCAGTTGTGCCTAAAATTAATGCCTGTCACATCTGTGTGAGTCGCTTTTGCTTGCCATTTCTACCAGACAGAATAAAAATATGCAATACCAATATTTCAAAATATCCCCTGTAATTTCT